AACGGTCATCTATTAATCACAGAAAAAACTTTTTTACATTTGCATCAAAGGATTCAATGAAATAAGATTGTAATTTTTATTATAGTAAAGTTTAAGTTAATTTTATTCATAACAATTATTTTGAAAAAGACTTCAATGTTAATAAAAAATAGATAGATAAAAATTATTTAATATGTACTTTTAATAAAAAAATCTCAATGAAAGAAAGTTTACTTTAATTAAGACTTCATATAAATCTCAAAAGTTTACTTCAAAAAAAAATCTCAGCAAGCATATCAGTAAGAAGCATGTATCAAAAGTGGTGATTCCAGTGAATCATTCATGCAAGTCTCAATTCCCTAATTTCCAGTGCTCAGCAAAAGGAGTAAATTTTCTCATTTGGCAATCAATTTCCAGTGAAGCATATTGGAATGCACCCAGTACTCTCTTTTCTTCAAATGTTGTTTGGTTTCCTAATATTCTTAGGGCTGTGGGAGCATCAACAGCCATTACGCACCCATTGTACGTTTCTTGGAAACCATCTCCACAGACTATGGTGATACCTGCTAATCCATTTTTACAATTATCCTTGGAGGTCCATAAATCGCTGATAGGAAAAACGCGTTGCATCTAAATGGGAATTTACAAGAAAATGATGCTCAAAAGAAAAAAAAAAAGTCATATTTTCCAGATAAATATTGAATGATGGATGGTTTTCAGTTTTCATTTTCCTTTGTCACATTAGGGTCATTTTCCATAATGCTAGAAGGGTAAATTTTCCCAACATTTATCCACTAGTTTGGAAAATATTCCTGATATAAAACTTAATACACAAATATGACAGGCAAGTACTCACCATTATCAGCAGGCACAACAGAATTTACTTGACAACCAAGTTTAAATTGACAATCTCTACTCTCCAGCATGTCTCTGACCTGATTTAATTGAATTGGAATATATTTGTAGTTAGCTTACAGCAACAGAATCTTAAGCTTTATACTTTTGAACAACCTATTTCACAAATAAGATGAACATATAGGGGAGTTGGACAGTTTCAGAAACTAGAAATGTGTACCTTTTTAACAAAATATGAGTGGCTTCTGATAGTTAACCACTGTGGATTCCCAAATAGCTGCACATGGAAATGGAAAAAAAATCAACAAACAAAATCGACATGATGCAACTTAAACCTACAGATTAGTGATCAAGACGATAATGCTTGAGAAATGATAGTCATAGGTACAGCTTGCCTTTTGGAAATTAATCAAATACCTGGTACAAATGATGATTGCGACAATATGAAAGAATGGAGAAGGCTGAAAAGCCCATAACCTCTTCCTGGGAGCAGGACAATACTGAACCACATATGGGAGCCTATAAAATTTCAATTGATTAATTCCAATAATTGGTATAAGAAAAGCTCAAGAACTGGATGAAATGTATAAATTCTTCAGCAGCTCACCAGGTAAGAGTTCTTAAAATTTTCAGAGTAACCCTTAGAATTTATAAACTGCCCCAAGGTTTCATTTCGATCAATGTCTGGATTGTGCTCAAGTGATTCAAGGTAACTGCAAAACATGGAGGACTATACAGTTAAAATGGTAATAAAAAGAAATCTCAAATTGTCCAAATGTAGATGACAAGACAATGAATGGCTAACCTGTTGACATCATTCCCGAACTTGGTAATTTCTCTGAGGTCTGGCCAATTGTAAGGATTCAACATTTTCCTCTTGTGTGCAAACTGGTTTGAATAGCCATATTGGCTGCACCACTCATAGCCATTGCCTTTGTCATGGCTTACAGAGAATGAAACATCAGATGCTTCCACATCAACTCCAAGGCTATCAAACAACTCCAAAATTGTTGGATACCTTGCCTGTCAAGTTATCCATATGATCATTTTTCTCAAATCCAAATTTATCCAAAGAAAATTACAGCAAAACATTAAAGCTTTGAAGTTTTATACTTACATTTAATGGTTGAAATTTTAGGCTAAAATACTAAAAATCAATCTTTGTACACTTCCATATTTCATTGATAAATTAAAAATTTATCTGAAACCCTAATGGATCAAATCTCTTCACAGTAAACATTTTCTTTGAATAACTTGCTAATCAAATTTAAAGGTTACAGTAGTTTAACATTTACAAAAACAATTTGAAAGTGATTGTTAAAGCTGTCACACCATTAACATTTTAAGCTCAATGTCATGTTGTGCCCTAATGAGCTCAATTTTTTTTTTTGTTTTTATGACTTTTTTTAAGTTAAATTAATTTTGTGAAAAAAGTAAACCAGTGGAAATCCTCATGTGGCACCCTCAATTTGCTTTTTATCTTTCTTATTTTTTAATTAGATAAATTTTAAAACAAAAGGTGCCAATTGATAAATTTTAAATAATTTATTTTTTAAAAATCAAAACTGAGTTGGGGAAGGGTAGAGTTTTTTTTTTTAGAAAAAAAAACAAGATCGAGACAGAAATCTATTTAGAATACTTTGTCCCAACTCATTTTTTCATATATATAATATATATACAGTTTATTTTTAATTTTATTATATACATTTCATTAAGAAAATTATTATTTGATCTCTTAATTTTAGAAATTAATATTTTAAATTCAATGAGAGTGTCCATGTACCAATCTCTATAATTTTTTTTAATTTTTTGTTTTTTGCTTTTTTATGCTTTTTATCCTTTTTATATTATTTTTTTGTTTTTATTTTTTTAATTAGATAAATTTTGTGAGAAAATGAGGTTAATTGAAATATCTACATGTTTTTACTCCATTAGTTTTTTTTTTCTCTTTCATTTTTTATTTTTTTAATTAAGTAAATTTTATAATAAATAAATAATAAATAAAATAAACAAAAAAAATGACCCGCAGCATTGCTGGTATTATGCTAGTATTCATTAAAAATTTCAAATTATCTGTTAACTATTATATTGGTATAAAAATATTATTATAAATATAATTCTCAGAAGTAGCAATGGCGTGATCAAAGATCTAAAAGGAGATAAGAGTTGAAGTCAAAAGTAATCATAAAGTGAAAAAAGAAAATGTAAAAGACAAATGATAAATGTATGAAGCAAGACTAGTTGCGGGTCAAACACTTCTTTTCTCTTGCTTTTTCTTTTTTTCTTTTTACAATTTTTTATAAATATTTCCAAAGATTTTAAATTTCTTTTTGCATGGGATCCACTTGATTCGAAGAGTATGCAACAACGTATTTGCTTTTTTTTTTTTCTTTTTTAATTATTATTTTTATAAATTTAATAAAATATTTTAAAGATTTAAATTTTTTTCGTGTAACTTCAAAGTATGTCATATGTTAAGTCATTTGCTTCATTTTTATTTTTTATTTACTTGTTTCCCATTTAATATTAGATGAATATTTTTTATTATTATAAAATTTTTTAGTGATAACCATTTAGTATTATTGATTAAAAGTTTTTTTTTTTTTATTATCGATTTAATTTTATGATATATATGTATTATATTAATTAAGTTATTATTTTATAACTTAATTTAAATATTAATATTTTAAACTCGATTTGGATGTTCATATAACAACAATTTAAAAATTAACATTTTAAACTCAATTTGGATGTTCATATAACAAGGATGATCTCTTTTTTCACTTTTTTTTTCAATTTTCTTTGCTTTTTTTTTCTTTTTTTATTTTTAATTAATTAAGTTATTATTTAATGCATTAATTTAATATATTAACATTTTAAGCTCAATTGGAATGTCATGTTGTGCCCTAATGAGCTCAATTTTTTTTTGTTTTTATGAATTTTTTTAAGTTAAATTAATTTTGTGAAAAAAGTAAACTAGTGGAAATCCTCATGTGGCACCCTCAATTTGCTTTTTATCTTTCTTATTTTTTAATTAGATAAATTTTAAAACAAAAGGTGCCAATTGATAAATTTTAAATAATTTATTTTTTAAAAATCAAAACTGAGTTGGGGAAGGGTAGAGTTTTTTTTTAAAAAAAAAAAACAAGATCGAGACAGAAATCTATTTAGAATACTTCGTCTCAACTCATTTTTTCATATATATAATATATATCCAGTTTATTTTTAATTTTATTGTATACATTTCACTAACAAAATTATTATTTGATCTCTTAATTTTAGAAATTAATATTTTAAATTCAATGGGAGTGTCCATGTACCACTCTCTATAATTTTTTTAAATTTTTTGTTTTTTGCTTTTTTATGATTTTTATCTTTTTTATATATATTTTTTGTTTTTATTTTCTTAATTAGATAAATTTTGTGAGAAAAATACATGCTTTTACTCCATTAGTTTTTTTTTTATCTTTTATTTTTTATTTTTTTAATTAAGTAAATTTTATAATAAAAAAATAATAAATAAAATGAACAAAAAAATGAACCGCAGCATTGCTGGTATTATGCTAGTATTTATTAAAATTTCAAAGTATCTGTTAACTATTATATTGGTATAAAAGTTTTATTATAAATATAATTCCCAGAAGCAGCAGTGGCGTGATCAAAGATCTAAAAGGAGATAAGAGTTGAAGTCAAAAGTAATCATAAAGTGAAAAAAGAAAATGTAAAAGAGAAAGACATAAATGATAAATGTATGAAGCAAGACTAGCTGCGGGTCAAGCACTTCTGTAATAATTGTACCATCCCTTGTCTGCTGCTTCTGGGAATTACTGCTTCTTCATTTGATTTTTTTTTTTTAAAGGGATCAAAGGAAATTGTGGGGAAATGGGGATGCATTGGTTTTGAAAGTGCGTTCAAAACGGGTCAAGCACTTCTGTAATAATTGTACCATCCCTTGTCTGTTTTCTATTGACACAAAAAAAAATTATATTAAAAAGGGTAGATCTGAACCTAATTATCCCTTTTTGCCAAGCATATAGGATTTTTATTAAAACAGATAGATTCTATAATCAAATCTAAAAAATTAAAAAAAAACAAGTATAATAAATCTTCAAAATATTCAAGATAGGACATATGCTTATTTTGAAAGGCAAACCCCCAACTTTTAAACTCGATTTAATAAAAATTCTCCATCATCAGGTTGATAGGTTTGCATACCTAGACATTGGGGCACTAAACATATGTGAAGATGAAACGGTCATCTATTAATCACAGAAAAACTTTTTTACATTTGCATCAAGGTTTCAATGAAATAAAGATTGTAATTTTTATTATAGTAAAGTTTAAGTTAATTTTATTCATAACAATTATTTTGAAAAAGACTTCAATGTTAATAAAAAATAGATAGATAAAAATTATTTAATATGTATTTTAATAAAAAAATCTCAATGAAAGAAAGTTTACTTTAATTAAGACTTCAAAATTGGTATGACAATTTTAAAAAAATTAGCTAATTTTTTTGTTTTTCCATTTTTTTAAAAATTTTTATCCTTTTTATATTTTCTAATTAGATAAATTTTGTGAGAAAAATGTGGTCAATTGAAATATCGACATGTTTTTAATCCATTAGTTTTTTTTATCTTTCATTTTTTATTTTTTTAATTAAGTAAATTTTATAATAAAAAAATAATAAATAAAAAGAACAAAAAAATGACCCGCAGCATTGCTGGTATTATGCTAGTATTTATTAAAATTTTCAAATTATCTGTTAACTATTATATTGGTATAAAAATATTATTATAAATATAATATATTAACTTTAAAGTTTAAAGAATACCGTAAGGACACTTTCGTAAAAAAAATGAAAAAAAATGAAATTAGAGAAAAAAGTGACAACTGGAAGCAGGCTAGAATCCGTAGGCAAACCAAATTCAACGAAATTTACAGAAACTTTGGGTTCCTCGGGGCCTATATATGTAACAAAGCTAAAAGCATTTCCAAAGGCATAGAGCATAGATAAAGTAATTAACAGTTATATCAATTGAGTTAAGCTGATCTGAGCTGGGCTGAGTTTATTAAGATAATTATGGGGCCAAATTGGTTATTATGGGTAATGATGACCGCGTTGGTTTTAGAAACAGGCTCGAGTTATGGGTGTTTGGAGCAAGAGAGACTTGCACTCCAACATCTCGAACCTTTCTTCTATCATCTTCGTTATGGATCCAACTTAAGGGGGAAGAGGTTTTAGACTGTTGTCGATGGAAGGCGGTTAAGTGCGACAATCACTACTAGACGAGTGACTAAAATCTTTCTAGGTTTTGGAACCCAACAGGTACTACTCGAACGAGAAATTGTATCTCATGCCTCCTGTTTCTTCCTTTCGAAGAATTGAGGAATCTTCATCTCCAGGGGAATGAAAAGCTGGTTGTGTTTGAGAATGAAGGTTAATTCGTTGCATTTCATCTCTTAATTTTTCCATAAATAAATAAAATAAATATTGGCTTGCCCCCTTCTATTATCATAGCCTAGGTGGCTTTGAAAGAGTCACAACTCACTAACTTTTTTTCGTGCATATGCATTTAAAAATTCTTTCTCTTCTCTTCTCTTGGCAGGTTTTGGAAAGCCTATCCAAGTTGAAACATCTAGAAGTTCCTTGACTTGAGTTTGAATGCCTTCAATGATAGCACTCTATCATCTTTGAGTAAAATTTCCAGTCTCAAGTCTCTAATTTTAGTAGGAAATTATTATCTTGAAGGATCAAACCATACTAATGGTAAAGTTAGAACATCATGTCTAATTCAATTGTAATCATCATATAACGATAAATAATTATACATTCACTGAAACTCTTTTGTTACTTGTAGCAGAATTTAAGTGGCTTTCAACTATGAGTGGTTTGGAAACCCTGGATTTAAGTTCTAATAATTTGATGAATAGCTTCTTGTTACACTTGGACGGTCTTTCATCTTTAAGAACTTTAATTCTTCAGAATAATACATTTCAAGGAATGGCTCTGATTCCAAGTAAG